GTTACAGCGTTTTCTTTTCGTTTAGCGTTCTTATAAGTTTTTTGTTAAACCATGGTCGATATTTATGATCTTTAGGCGGCGGGTGGGTAAATAATTTTCGACTGCTATATAAATAATTTCGTAGAAGATCATTAGTATTTCATTCGCATCACTTCCTTTAAACTTTTTCCTTTAAACAGTTAATCCCAGTCGTGTTCTTTTAAAAATGTACATATTCAATCATAATCGGTTTTATAAAAATTTGGTCTAGCATTACCCTTATAGCTAGCTTTACGTTACTAGTAGAAGGCACTATTATTTATAAAGGCGGATGAAGAGGATCTACTTTACTTAACGAGTTTATACTTTCGAGCACAGAACAAGAACTGATTGTTGACAAGACTATGTCAAGTACACGATTTGAAGAGTTTCTTACATCATTAAACTGTAATAGCCCGTTAACACAAGCAAAGTCTATTAGGATATCACTAGTGTTACAAGAATCAGTGTTATATGTTAAGTCTTTTACCGAGTTCCAATCAATATTTCCCATGTTAAAATCTCCTATCATAAAAATGTTCACGTCTAAAATCTGATCAATAACAGCATTACAATTAGCTAAAACTGTTCCATGGTATACTGCACAAAGAGCTATCTGACTCACGCCTTGTTCTTTTGGTAAATCAACAAGAACCCCAAGATCTTCACTGGTACTTTCCCAAGCTAGAGCCCGCTTTGACTTTATTGCTTTTTCGATAGCTATTAGTACGCCACCGCCCGCCGCGTTACCGCGTTGACTAGAACTTTCTCTATCTCTTCTATATAATATATAACGTATCTATCATCAAATAACTCGTTGCTGAATACGGAACCGTCCAACCATGTCTCTGTAAGAATTATTACATCGTAATTACTGCAACTGACATTCCTAAAAAATTAATTTGTTTTTTCTTTAATCCCCAATTGTTTGATTGTTTTCAATAGTCTAAGAATATACTATATATTCTTACTATTGAATGTAAAAGCTTATCGCTACACTTCAACCACCTAACAACTTAAATATTTATATTATCTTTTTCAAGGTATCCACGTTTCGTATCAATACCGACTCTGACTCATCGTTTTTCCCGACGAAGATTTTACCACTCCTCACCCAAACATATTCATATCCTTTCTCTTTAGCCTTCAGTCTCGTGACTGAGTGAAGAGCTTTATTGGCTGGTGATAAGTGCTCGACCATAAAGATTAGAGTCTTATCACCTATTAGTCCCAGTTGCGTACTCCTTAATTTTTCTCGAGGATTCGCTTTATTAAAATTGATAACAGCGGCCAATAGCGAATCACGGATTCTCGGCAAGGCACGTTGAACGACGACAGATCTAGGACGCATATTTTTTGGATTTAGCTTTGCGACTCGACAGCAATGTAAAATATCACTTTCTTTAATCTCGCACCCAACTACCTCTCCGAGTTTTTTGACGATGGTGTACAAATTTTGTTGTTTCTTTTCAGGCAAACATTGCAATTCGAGATTCTTGGATCGAGAGTGTTGCTCCAAGTAGTTTAAACGACCATTAAGATCTATAACCGAACTTCTCATATTAGCATTTTCTTCTTCCAAATTTTTCATTATTTTACTAGCCGTTGTCTGTGTAGCCTCTATTTCATTAAATTTCGTGTTTATGAATGACATCGAATCCTTTAAATCATTTATATCTTTTCTCTCGTTATTATATTTTCTCATGGTTGATTGTTTCAATCATTTTTTCCGTTGCTTGTACATCGAACTGAGCTCGTTTTTTATGACTTCTTGCACTATAGAACGTCTATTTTCCGCGTTAAGTTGTGTTGTTTCAGGGGGAGAATTTAAGGCAGGTCTTTTATTTCCTCTTGTAAAAGTAGTATAATATAGGTTCAAAATAATATATGTAATCACAATAAACACAATAATATAGTAAGACTTTACTTGTATTTAGTAGCAGGTATTAACGTAACAATCCAACTTAAGGTTGCCTCTAATTAACTTCTCTGTACGAGTATTAAAATTAATATAAATCCAAGTTAATGGTACATCTGGAGTTGAAGCGAACAGCTGATTCAGAGAGCCGGCGAGAAAAAGTCGTAAGCGCCGTGTAAACCGCGTCACTTACGCGTTTTGTGTCGTACACAACCGACGGTGCATTTGTTTTGTTTTTATTTAGAATTTGATTCTATTTAATGTAATAAATACACCAATGCACTTTATTTCTTAACAACACTTGTGCCACTTTATACAATAGTTCGTGAACAGATGTCTATTACACAGATTTAAACGAGTAATTCACTTTAAGTACGAATAGGAAACAAAAAACAAGGAGCAAATTTAAGTAGATGTTAACTCTATTATTAATCTATTGTCGCTCTGCCTTTAAAATATCAGATAAGCAGGGCCACGAGATCTAAAATATGGCACTGGTTTTACATTTAAGTACTATTTAAGTACTTCAGAAATATATCAAACAAAAAAATAGTGAAGTTTTCTTTAAAATAATTATACCATTGACGTTCTCTGGTAAAATTTTACTTGAGCATATATGAGATCATAATATGTTGAAATGAAAAAATGAAAAACTTTGTTTGAATTTACCTAATTGGTCAAGGATCTCAGTGATGTTTGGATAGTGCAAGTTTCACCGATATTGATGTCGCAACTTCTTATAGTCATTATTATATAAGCCATTTCTTTGGCCCGAAGCATTGACCTTTTTGGGAACGTTCCAGATTACCATAGGAATGCGGGATTGTATGTATAATGCCTTGGTCGAGCATTTTTTTGATTTATGTTTGACTTCCTTTTTATTCTTCAAGGATTTGGTATTTATAAGGCTAATTATGAAGGATGGATTTCAGGGAAGCGATAGGATTTGGTATTTATAAGGCCAGAGGACTTTGTACTGATTTCATGCGAATATCATGGAGGGTATCGTACAGTCGTAGGCCATGCGGGGCCCCCCTGTCGTCTGGGGGCATTCCAACAGAAGTTTATACAATATTTTTTTTAAAGTAGCCAAGTCATTACATTTTAGAAATAGCTAAAGTATTTGAGAAATTCTTTAGTGAGATTTCTACTTTAACTACATTGTCGCTGAATTCTTTTCCTACTGATGCCGAGACATTACTTAAGGAAAATGTAAGTGCTTGCACCACAATCTTTAAATTTCAGACTGTACATTCAAAAGTTATTGTGAAAATGCATAAAACCAATGAATTTAAGAAAATGGTAGATGTATGGGTGTAAATGTCTGTTGAAGTGACTGCTTCAATAATAGATTTAATAGCACCTTATTTGTCTAAAAATTTTCAACAATAGTGTAGATTCTGGCGTTTTTCCTGATCCCATGAAACACAATAAAGTCATAATTATATTTAAATCCGGTTAATTTTGGACCCCAATAATTTTAGACCTATTTCTATACTACCAAAACTTAGTAAAATTTTCGAAAAACTTCTTCTTGATCACCTGTTAAGACATTTTAACTTAAATTATTACATCACAACCAGTTTGGTTATACAAGGGGTGGTTCTACAACCGATGCTGGTGTAGAGCTGATCAAACATATATTTCAGGCTTGGGAGAGTTAACAGGAAGTTCTGGGTGTCTTTTGTGATCTTTCCAAGGTTTTTGATTGCGTGAATCACAAAACACTCATCAGGAAATTACGCCATTATGGCATTAGCAGTATCGCCCTTGACCTCATTAAGTCATATTTATGGAATTGAATTCAAAATTTGTAATTAATGGTACTAGTTCTTCTGGCTCGATGTTATCAATGGGCGTTCCACAGGGCTCGATTCTCATTTCTTTTTCACATTTACAGAACGATAGACAGAGCTTTTTTGAAGACCTCGACAAAACGTATTTTTTGGAGGGGATAAAAAATTGGAAACTCGCTGGAACAAGTGTTTGGCCCTCAAAAGAGACTTCTACTTCTTCTTCCGTCCCTGATCAAAGATTAAAGGCTTCGGGCAGATCTAAGGCTAATCGAACGACGTGATCTTCGTTGCGACTTTAAATATGTCCATACCATCTTAGGTGATTTTCTGTCATTTTGTCTGTGATTGGTGTGACCCTAAAGCTGCCACATGTATGTTCATTACGGACTTTGTCAAGCGGAGTTACAGCTCCGGCCCATCTTAGCATCTTCATTTCGTTGGTATGGACCGTTTGCTCAGGCGCCTTCTTTGTTGTCCAACATTCGGAACCATACAATAACGCGGGACGTACTACAATTTTATAGATTTTAGTTTTGATGGGAATACGTGGATCACATAATACTCCTGTAAGTGATGGCCATTTCAACCACGCGGCACTGATTCTATGGGCCACGTCTGCATCAACGTTTGCATCAAGTCTAAGTATTTGAATTTACCCACTGTGGGAAAAGTGTTGTCCCAACACAAATGGAATCAGTTACCACGTTTCCGCTGTTCCCTCAAAGGAGACTATGTTGAGAAATAAATGTAAATTGTTTAAAAATGATGCAAAGGCAACAGAGGATTTTGAATAATTATTATTATTAATATTGTCACTACATACAGAGGATACAAAGTAATTATTTTTTTTTTGTTTAGTGTTGACTTTATACTGTTGTCTCGTTTATCTAACACTGAGGTGAGACATATATAGTATAAATTGTTATTATAATTAATATTCATGATTATAATTATGTTCTTCAACAAAGTGGACACGGTTGTTATTATTAAAATTTGGGGACTTACCTGAATTGTTGGAAGCAACTCTTGGATACGAAAGTGGAGGTCCACCTGAGGTTGAATGTTGTGGCACAAGTGTAAACTGCGCGCTATATCTATTATTATTAAATTGTCGTTTGAGGCAGACCTCGATGGTGTGTTCCTTGGATTTAAAATACCTGCGTATGGGCGGAAAGCCAAAACTGAGAAAGTGAGGTTGTTGTGTCTGTTATTCATGTCATACACTCCGACTCACTTTCGGCAGTCTGCAGAACGGCCGTCTTCATAATATGACCGAATCGTCTACATATTACGTGCATCACAATGAGCGCCAGGTCCTTAATAACGAAATTAGGTAAATACAAATAACGAAGAATACATTAAAATTAAACGAAATATAAGAATTAGCTTAATGTTTATTTTTTAAATTGAAGTGATGTTGTTCTTTTTTCTGAAATCAGACAGAATTTATTACTTATTTATTAAATTATTATCAAAGTAATTTATTTTAGTAAATAACACAATATTGTATCGTGTTGATTAGACGTTTTAGATACGTTGAATGATAAGAAAATTAGTTTTATGATTTTCATTATATACCATCATAATGCTTAGAAAAATCGATTATTTAAATATTTAGTCAATCGATCTCTAGTCGCTGTCTCAGTCTCTAATCGGTTTTCACTTTTTTGTTTTATTCAACTACGTTTTGTTTTTGATATACAACTAATTCAGATTTAAAAAACTACTCGTTGGTTATATTTAATTTCACATTCTGAGTTTCAGAGATCAGAGTAATGATAGGTACCTTTTGCGTTTACTGAACAACGATCATTTTAATATGATTGTCTTTCGATAAAATTTGTTTAAAAAGAAAGCGAGTCACAAACTCGAAAAAAGTAGTAGAAAACAACGTGTCATCATGTATAAATGGATAAATTAAAATTACAAACAATACCATTTGTAGTCTAGTTTCAGTCGTCGTCACTTGAAACGTCTTATAAGTTGTAACGTTTAATAAAAAATGTTTTTATATTTATGTGTTATTGTTTTTATGAACGAGTCCTTTGCCAAGGAGACCATAAAATATGCAGCCGTTATTTATAGACATGGGGACAGGACACCAGTTGATCCATACCCAACAGATCCTTGGCGAAACGAATCATTGTGGCCTGTAAGATTTGGAGAGCTGACCAATATTGGTAAAAGACAGCATTATGAACTAGGCAAGTGGCTTCGTAAGCGATATTCGGTGAGTTGTTTTAACTGAAGTTAAACAAAAAAAAATTGTACTGCATTGTTTATATGAAAGGGTTTTTTTCTTGATATAGAATCTACTATCCAATGAGTTCGATCCAAAGGAAGTATATGTTCGGTCCACAGACGTAGATCGAACATTAATGTCGGCTCAAGCTAATTTAGCAGGTAAGACAGTCAATTTGAACTAAATAATATATTATATTGTAATAATTAATAAAACTAAACTAAAAATCTCACAGGAATGTTTCCACCCATGGGTAAGACTGTATGGGATACTGATTTGTTATGGCAGCCTATTCCAGTACATACAAAGCCAGAAAAAGATGATGAAGTAATAGCTATGAAAAAGAAATGCATTGCATACAACTATGAAAAGGAGCGCTACTTTCATTCTAAAGCCTATAAGGACAGACTCAGTAAATATCAAAATCTAATGAAGTATGTCGTACAATAATTAAAATCCTTAATCAGTCTAACATTTATAAATCTTTTATTTGTTTTTCAATGATATTGGTTACTTTGTCACAAGTTTTGTGATTATATCCTTAAGTGAATATAAAATAATTATAGTCTTTTTTTTATGTGTAAAGTTGCCAAACGAGCAAACGGTTCACCTGATGGTGAGTGGCCGCCGACCATTGACATCTGCTTCACCCGAGGGTTACAGATTGTTGAAAATTGGGTTCCGGCTACCTCACTCACCAGACGAAACGTTAAAGTATTTGTCATACTTCCACTTTACGCTAGTCTTCTGTGAGGTCATGGTACTTACCCTAACAGGCCTGCCCATTCGTGCAACAGCCGAGGATACTGTGTGGCCCTACCACGCCATATAATTACATAATATATTCTGTTACATGTATTGATAAAACCTACTGATAAACCTCGGATGCAAGACTGCAACCAAGAGTTTTGATTGGTAGACTCTCACATATTAATTCACTGAATGCTTTAAATACAACTTTTAATGTTGAATTTTAACTTGACCATTTTATGCCAAAATTTACTAGAAATATAATAAAATCATTATGAAAAGTAATTCATTGAATGGAATATAATAATTATTCATTTACTGTTGAAAAAAATGTATTGTAAATATTTTTTTTCAGCTACATAGCAGCATATACTGGTAAAAAAATTAAAGATTACCAGGATTTAGAAGACATTTATAATAATCTTTTTATTGAAGATTTGTATAATTTTACTTTGCCAAACTGGACCCATTCTGTTTTTCCAGATAAACTGAAGGAACCATCTTGCTATAGGTTTGTATGTTTATAGAATCCTCCCTTTGCTCTTATTTTATTTTCGAATAGCATTTTTAGTACATTTTAACCTTTATATGACTTAAAAAATAAATCTATTTCAGTTTCTCAACTTCAACTGCAACACCTCTTATGGCTCGATTAATGGTGGGCCCACTTCTAAAAGAAATTACAAATAAAATGCTTAACTCAATCTCCAGCAATACAAAAAGTGCCTTAAAAATGTCTATATACAGTGGACATGATTTCACAATAGGCAATATTTTATCTGCCATGGGATTTTTTGATGGAAATTGCCCACCATACACTGCCACAATTTTTTTGGAACTCATATATGGTAAGATTCAAGTTTGGCCTAGTTTGACTATGTGGTGACAAATTCAGTAACTTCTTTGAAAAAACTGTGCTTTTTCATAATATTATTACCTAATATTACTTACTTATCCCCTTAACAAAAGGTTAAACTATTAAAATACAATGGCACAATTTACACAAGCCATGAAATAATCACTATTGGTTATTGTAATAAATTTTTATCATGAATTTTACAGATAACTCAACAGCTGCTTACTATGTAAGGTTTTTGTATAGAAACTCAACAGAGATAGTGGAGCCAAACATTTTATTCATCCCATACTGTGGAAAAAGTTGTCCTATTGAGAGATTCATTAAATTATATGACAATCTCATAACAGTTAATTGGGAATATGAATGTGAGAAAAAAGTAAGTGAAGCAAATATTATTTACTATGAGATCAGTTAAACAAATTTTAAAGATTTTAGTGTTTAAAATAATGTTTGTTTTGAGACTTTTATTTAAAAAAGTACAAGATAATAACTGCCACACTGACAACTGACTGCAGATTTTCTAGCCTGTTCTAGAGATATTTTTTGCCAGGCAGTGATAGGATTTTTGACATTCAATAAGAGCTTAAAATAATCCTATATTGAATAAAGAAATTATGACTAACTAGTCTAATGTTATATATTGATAAAATAGTTTTTAAACTTCTTTTACAATGGCCTATAAAAATTTTGTTTGTTTCAGTTTACTTCTTTCATTGGAGTGTCCTTACTGATTGGTCTAGCTTTATTTATCTCAATATATGTAGTTCATCGAATTCATTTTGCGCGAATTTATAGACAACACAGGTAATACTGAGACTGTTATTCATACTATGTTAATTTTAGTTTTATTAGTAATCTAATTTTTGTAAGACATTTTTATACCAAAACTAGTTTTGGTATAAATTGAACTTAATCTTGATTAAACAGTAAATATTACCATTACAACAGTTATGATATACTTTATCTGGTGTATTATGTTAAATTATCATGCATTTGTGTCTTACAGGGTACTGACTAATTATATTAATATAAACAACATTACCAAAGAACCAATCAACTGCAGTCAATTGTGAAATAAAGTTATTAATGTTTTGTTTAGTTAGTAATGATTTGTAACTTTATGTACATTCAGTACTACTAAATATTTTGTATATCTGATTTTATAAACAAAATAAAAAGCTTTTAGTCTATCAGAATCAGTTTAATTTCTTTTTGCACTTTAAACATAGTAATAGTCCCATGGGTTTTTAAAAAATAACACAAAAACTCATACATAGTATCACTAATATCTCATAATTGCACCATTTACTTGTGCTTGATCGAAATACTCTTAAGATTAGTGGCATTCCAAACCTGAACTGTTATTCTTCCATAATCAAACCATTAATATATTTGGACCCATGGTGGCCAAGATTTTAGATAAGATGGTTATAACAATACCTAATTGATAAGAGATAAGAATACCTAATTAACAAAAAATTTACATAAATATAATACAAATATGCATATACTATATTACATAAATATAATACTTAAAAACTAAATTATTAAAAAAAACTAAACTAGATAAAAAATGCTGGTCAAATCGCCGTCGTCTGTGGGCAGCGTATTGTTATTATCATTATTTACTTTGAAATGATGATGATAACAAGATAATTGGCGATGAAACAGATGAATGCTACTGATAACCCGAAGTATTCACCTGAGCTAGCAATTTTTTTAAATCTGATATGACCACAATACTGGTTCTGTGGTGAATAACTTTGTTTTCTATAATCGATATAATAATAAAAAAAGGATATCATTCTTTAATCTGAACTTCATATAGTAAAGAATATCTTATTATTGTTTATAGCTTCCGTTGCTAAGTCGCTAGTCGATAAATGAAGGTCCAAATTGTAATTTTTTAATATGAATTTTATAACAGAAATGTTTATGAACAGTATTATTTTATACCTTAGACATGTCATATCATGACATGTCTAAGGTATGTCCGTATGCCCCATATGAGGAGATATCAGCAGCCATATACGCCTTCAAGAGTTACTTCACAGTTTTTATGGGGGACTAAGGAAAAGGAATGGGGATGAGTTGAGAGCAGGAGCATAATGATACCGGCAGCGGAACTAGAGGAGCTAGAAGGTAGTCCATTTTATGGAGGATGAACTTATTTTTTGAATTACTTGTATCAGAAACCTCCATTCAGAAAGTGGACGTGGATAAACCCCAATGGTTCAATCAAGAATGACTTCGTCATAAATGCCTACATGATCGGCAGGGAGAAAATGGCTAGCGATTACCGTATCATTAGAAACACATTACAACTTGAAGCTGGAAAGGTCATGCCAGATGAAGTCCACGCTGTGTCATTGCCATATCCAGATCCAAAATCCCGAAAGCTTTCAACAAGAATTGCGAAATCGCTTGAAGGATACGAAGCAACGGTCGAGATGCATAATATGTTGGTTGAAGCTGTGGGGACCGGGGTCTAAGTTCTTTATATTCTATATATGGGGCATTCCACGCGAAGCGGACAGGTAAAAAAAGTTGATGTCTCCGATTTTAGTAATATTTGATTATGTTATACCTACATGTGCCCTCAATCCAGATACAAAATATTTTTTCAGTATAAAATGTAGTTTACGATTTGGAGAGCTTTAAAAATGTGACTAACCGGCAGGTATGCGCCACTTCGAATCCCATTATCCGGTATTGAAAAGATAAATGGAAATAAATGAAGTAGTCAAGTGTATGCTTAATTTAATGAACTTTCTAATTACATTATTGGATATTAAAAAAAATATTTTTTTTTGAAAAAAAAATCATGTTCAAACTTTTTAAACTTGAAATTCACAAAGTTGACCACCACTTTAATTTTTTTTCTAAAACTAGTTAATAGTGTATAGATAGTCCTTGCCTAGTTGCATAATGGGCCGAGAAGTCCTTTAGGAGCTGGGCCATCTGCAGTGTCGAAGGGTAGCGCCGGTGCCCGGATCGCGCCTACTGCCAGTTAACGCGAGATTACAAAAACATCCAACAGAATATTTTGTTTACCTAATTGAGTTTAATAAATCATTTGATCTTACTTAGATGTACTTTAATTTACAATAAAACGACGTTATTATGTTTTGATTACTTATAAATGTTTAATAAAGAATTTTTATGTTATTTCTGCGTTTTATCATAGTGCCTTCAGCAGTCAGAACGAAGGCAAGGTATTTTTTTGAATTTGATATTGTCATTGAGGAGTCAAATCTGATTTTTAGCCTCTTTCCGTATATAAACATAGTAAGAATACTTTGCTGCATTGATATTGAAGCCATTTCGCACCCTGCGTAGAACGTGACATCTGCAAAATTGTAATTGTTTTATTTTGGTTATAGTTTTCTTATACATAGCAGTTGCTATTCAAATTTTTGAGGTTTGTAATATTATTAGGTATATAAACATACAGTATACTTTTTGAATAAATAATTATATAGGAAATAAGAGGTTCCATGTGTAATAGTGACGTTTTCCTACGGAAAATGGCAACAACTGATGGGTCACAAGTTCATATATACACGTTTATATAACGTTGTTCTACTAAAAACTTAGAAAATATGTATGAAATAAACGCATGTGGCACTGTTTTCAACGAAAAATCCATAAAAAGTGGGTGACTGTGCAATAATTATCAATTGACTATAGAGTATTAGACTCGTCTGTTACATTAGTAAGCTTAGTCTAGTCAGTACAGAAAACAGTGTCTAAACATACACATACATATGTCCTTGTACTGCGGAGCACAAATCAGATAGATCGTTGTTCTCTTCTGAATATCAATATCTATAAGTGAGAAAAAAATGTTATCTGAAAGCGTAGACTATGTATTCGTTCTATGTCGTGTATGTATTCGTTCTATGTGACCACATAATGTTATTTACAAATTACAGGGTTCAATTCTTGGTCCCATTCTCTTTGCTATTTACACATCGGACATACATAGGGATATTCAGTATTTGCAGGTACATCTTTACGCTGACGACACCCAATTATATATACATTCACCCTTAACTACTGATGGCATGTTAACAGCTGTATCTAACTTAAATAAAGATCTCGAAGCAATTGTAGCCTGGGCGGAACGACATGACTTAATCCTTAATCCGAAAAAAAGCACTTCGATCATATGCGGAACCAAGCATCAAACAGACTTTCTAAAGCAGAACAACCCTTGTGTTAAAATTATGGGTTCCTTGGTACCCCGACAGAATTGTGTGCGTAATTTGGGTCTTCTGATTGATGAAAACCTACGGTTCCATGAACATGTTTTGTGTAAAATTAGGATATGTTTAGCATCACTTAGATCACTTTATGAAATTAGAAATTTCATTGATGAAAAATTACGTTTACAGTTACGTAATACTTTAGTCTTACCAAACTTGTGCTATTGTGATATTGTATATGGTCCTTGTCTATTCCAAAAGAACTATAATAGCTATACAACGGGTTCAGAATGCTTGCATGCGTTATTGTTGCTCGATACCTAAACGACACCATGTGTTACCATACATAAATCAGAGGGGTTTGTTAAAAATGGATAACAGGAGACGCTTGAGACTGGCTTGCTTTCTTAATTCATTATTAAAATTCAAATCACCACCTTATTTATATAATAAATTGAGCTGGTCAAAAGACTTCTCGCGGTTCAATCCAAGGCTGAAAGCCCCTCCGCTTATCCTACCAAAACACATTCTTGTGCAAACTCGGGGCAGTTTTAAGTTTGCTGCGTCTATGTTGGAATGACTTGCCCCCTCCACTTCGTAACAGCTATTCCTTAAGTGCCTTCAAAATAAAATGTCGAAAATAACTTTTGATGCAGCAATTATTGGCTTCGAGTACCCAGTCTTTTAAATATAATAGTAAATAGTTATTAATTGGATAGCAATATTAATATAAATAGTTAATGTACAATATTTTAGGACGTACCTATTATAAAGCGTGTTCTTTATGTAAATTATGTCTGGCTAGGACAGAATATCAAAGTTGGTGTACCTTCCGTGCTACAACTTTGAGTCCTTGACCCTTTTGTCTAAATAATTGTTATTTTTTTTCTATTTATGTTACTCTTTAAATATTTTGTGCAGTGTTTGTATATTTAGACAAATAAACGATTTTTATTATTATTATGGGGGGATATTCATTTGTTTCCTCCTCTGGTTGGGTTTATAAATAAAAATATAGATACATATTGCATATATAAAATAAATATTATGGATAAAAATAAACATACTTATAAAAATATTTTATATAATACATATATAAATAGGACCCAACCAGACGGAAGCCCTCAGCAGGGGAGATCAAACGGCCGAGGGTTAGGGCGATAGGAAGAGAAACCGGCGGACGATGCGGGCGGTATCGAGGAGCACCGCTTTCTGCATTTGAGCTTGGAGCGATCCGTCCCGGAGTCCCAGTCGCCTCAGATGTTTGGAGAGGCTGACTGGGATTAACCCATTCGCAGACACGACTATCGGGATAATTTCGGCCGGCACACCACCCCACATGTCGGTCACCTCGTGAGCCAGGTCCAGATACTTTGTCTTCTTATCTGTTTCGGCTTTCACGAGGTTCTCGTCATATGGAATGGTAATGTCGACCAAAAATACTAATTATTATTATTATTAATATATACGTAGGAGGTAGAAATGGCTCATAGACCGCTCTTTTAGTTAAAACTTTAATTTGGAACCTAATACGGGTTGCAAAAACCAGGTAACAAAAACTCGAAAAGTTTAGCATTTGAATTTTTATTGAAGCTCCACATATGCCCTGCTAGATAAAATGTATATACTCCAAAATATAACCGAAAAATATACCAGTTGTTTTCTTCGTTTTTATACACTACGAAGTGTTTAATTATTAACTTTGCACATATTTTCTTGTAAGTTTTCCCATTAAACATTTTAAGAAGTACTATGTGAATATGTGGCGTACAATATGTCATATTGCTCAGTTATATTAGGAAAATAATATCAGTTGACTGCCAAAAACGTTAAATTTAAATCTTATAATATCTTTTTTTTTA